GATTTGAGTCAATTTCTGCGCAAATATGTGTGTGTGTGTGCGTGTGCGTGTGCGTGTGCGTGTGCGTGTGTGTGTGTGTGTGTGTGTGTGTGTGTGTGTGCGTGTGTGTGTGTACATACGTGTGTGCGTGCGTGCGTGCGTCTGTGTTTGTGTACACAGGTTTATCTTATGAACAATAGAAAAATTAACAACAACGTATGATTTATAGATTTAGTACGTTTAATTTTTTTTAAAGGGTCGATATTTCACTCATCGACGTGTAATACGGCCGCCGGTGTCGATATTGCCACAAATTTGACGCAAACTATAGACGCAAACAAAGAACAGCGAAATAACCCGAGTACGTGACTCTATTATGACACGCGTGTCCGTGATCCCACACTGCAATCATAGCAATTATGCCAATATAAGGAACATGTATTGGTATTCCCTGCACGTGACTCCATCTCTCCCGCGTGCGCCCCGAACGCGAAACTATATATATATTTATATACATATATATGTGTGTGTGTGTGTGCGCGTGTGTGTGTGTGTGCGTGTGTGTGTGTGTGTGTGTGTGCGCGCGCGTGCGTGCGTGCGTGCGTGTGTATGTGTGTGTGCGCACGTGCGTGTGTGCGTGTGTGTGCGCGCGCGCGTGTGTGTATGTGTGTCTGTGTGTGTAGATGTGTATGCGTGCATGCGCGTGTGTATGCATCTTATAATGACGTATTTTATATTGATAAATTAATGGGGATAACTTAGGGGAGAAAAATCATTAATACTCAACTCTCAAGAAAGAAACAATTTAATTATTGGCCGTGGCTACGCGTCCGGTTACCGGCGCCCAGCTCCCAGGCTACGCATCCGGTTATATATTTCTTATCTGAACCCATGAACCCAACTATATTTTTTCAGTAAAAAAACAATTAACAATAAGTTTCTACCATAATATTAGATACCTTCAGGTATTTTATCAAAAAATTTGTTTTTGTAACCTTTGAAGCAATAGGCCAGTAAAATCAACGGTTTGAAAGGGGGCGTGGCCTAATCGTGACGTGGATTTGGGAATCTGTGCTGAGCTTTGTAATGGATGACCGGACGAGTAGCCACTGCGTTAATTATATCATGGGACTCATATCATATATTATAAACAACCGCAAAACCAACAACAGCGGATCATTTATAGATTTAGCACGTTTTATTTTTTTTAAATATATTTTTAAGTCGCATCGATGGATAATATGACCGCCGGTGTCCATATTAAAAATAAAAAAGCTAAACTAAGTAAAGCTATTAAATAATAATTATTCGTCCCTCGAAAAAAAAAGAAATAAGATATTCTGCTTCACCACTATTTATAGAATTTTTGTGCTGTACATAACTATGAATGTGGTATAACTCATGTGTGAAAGTTGAGTATAAGCGGCCTATTTCGATACTGTACAACATATTATGCTGTCAGCTAGCACCTTATATGAGAGCCTATGCGCAATGAAATACACCAACGCAGCTCAGTGTTACTATACCTACTACCATACTATGCCTTAGTAATATTTAGACATTGATATCACTGCGCATAACAATACACTGACATGCAGGTGGATATTTATGGCATGTACTACATCTAGACAGACAAATTACAAGCGTTTTTTACTTGTTGCTGATAGGAGGGAGTTAAACGAAACTAATATAGTCTGAAAATATGTCGATTTCATTTTAATAATATCTTCACTTTTTTGTTATCTGCTCTTAGGCCTAGAGATATTGTGCGGCTAGTGGCTCTACGAAATAATAATAGATGACAGATCCAAACTCTCTGCATCTTGATGCTGGAAATAATTGGGGTGGTCATTTTACCCACCAAGGCCGCATTACTCCACTTTATCCTAATAATATATAAGTAATAAGGATTGCTATTCCCTAAGACACGCGAAAGGTAAAATATTCCTCATTGCCCGAGCGGTGTATATTTGAATAAAGTACGATTAGTTACGAATAGTTACGAATAAGTTACGATTAGTAAAACGAGGATTGAGGTAGCATAATCCGCACACATCTCGCTCTCTCTCTCTCTCTCTCTCTCTCTCTCTCTCTCTCTCTTTTTTTACTATAGTGTTCCATACTTGCACTTTCTACTGCTTTTTTGTGTGTGCGAGAGATATGTATATATATATATATATATATATATATATCTCAGAAGTAGATAATAGGGATCTATATATAGGGCCCGACATATTTCTCCATTCGTCTTTCAGCTGTCACCATGGTGAATCGTTGGCGTTTTGCAGCTGTGCAGAACGAACGCCAACCGCGCAATACGGCTCAGGTGAGACTCGAGCACCTGCAAATGGACGCCGTTGACGGAGAACGCCGCCTGAGGGAGCCATCGTCGTCGACGGTCTCTGCGCACGACACGCTCGTGAGTCCCAGCACCAATCACCGCTTCATGGTATCGCTGATGACAGCCGAAAGTTACGCCAAGCTAGACCCCCACGACGGTAAACACTATAGCCTCGTCTACACGGAGTCACATTAACCAGAGTTAAGCTAACCCGAGTTAACACTTAACCCGAGTTAAAGAAACACGCATCGTCTACACGGAGTTTGTCTTAACCCGAGTTAAGCTAACCCGAGTTAACACCTAACCCGAGTTATAGAAACACGCATCGTCTACACGGAGTTTGTCTTAACCCGAGTTAAGCTACCCGAGTTAACACTTAACCCGAGTTAAAGAAACACGCATCATCTACACGGAGTCGCCTTAACCCGAGTTAAGCTAAGCTAGCGGGAGCTAACGGGAGGCGGGGTTGACTGCGGTATTCTGTCTACTGATAACTACCGCTTAACTCGAGTTAACGATTTCGCGCGCGTCTACAGGAGTCTTAACCCGGGTTAGCTTAACCCCCTTCATCGCGAAGGGTTAAGCTAACCCGGGTTAAGGCTTAGCCCGGGTTAGCTTAACCCGAGTTAAGACCTCGTAAGGACGATGCGCATGCGCCGGTATCTTTCGATGTTGTACAACAGTAAAGGATGTTCATAGGCAGCAGGCCTGATCAAGCATCGAACAGAAATTAATTAAAACTACTCAGAGAGTTTCGGTGCGAACGCGACATACACTTTATTCATGCTTAATGACTACCTACAGATTCAAGTTCCAGCCTTCACTCGAAACTTTTGCCAGATTGTTTTCGAGATTTTTCGGCATGTAGTCGGATTCCGTTTCAAACACAAAAATAGAGGTTCGGTCACCAAGGTTACGCCACTTGACGCTGTGGCACAATTACACAACAAGACAAATCTCACTCCTCATGCTTTCTAGACGTCCACAAGGCATCTACCTGCGTGCATATGGCAAATTACTGCATTCTAGTGACGAAGTTTACCGCCAAAAAATTCAAAAGACGGCCTTTTCCAGAAACAAAATAGTGCAAGATTGGTAAACAATTGGCGGAAGGCTACTGTTGTATGCCACCTTATATCGTATGCAGATTACATGATGTTGTTACAGCCCAGCCAACAACCTTATTTCCACTTTCTGATTGGCGGATGATGTCATAGTGCGAGTAAAAAGGCTCACTAAGGAAGCAATATTTTTTTTATAGCTGTCTGTTAAGCAATGCTGATAACGTAACTAGAGACAAAACAAGAAAAGCTATGAAGCAAAAAAGTACAAATGGTTGTGTTTGATATAGTACGAAAAAACCTGTTTACGGTATTGTAGGCATGAAGTGCATGTTATGTCTGATGAGGAATAAGGGCGAGATAGAATCTCGACATAGATCTAAGAGGATAGAGAGCGTGAGCAAAACGATTTTGATCTACCGAGTTTTCCCTACTATTTACAATGACAAAGCGTGTGTATTTACCTTTGTCCGTTTTTTTCTAGCGAACCACTTAATGATAAAGACCCGGCCGAATCCGACAAAAAATGAAATCGTAGAATATGAAGAAGAGAAAAGAATTGAAAACACACTTTATCGTACACAATACGATGAGTAATAGATAGATATCAAGCCAGCCAATGGCCCACCATAAAAACATTCACACCGTGTAGACTTAATTATTATTATTATTATTATTATTATTCGATTGTTAATTAACTTGAGATGAATTCTTGGCGTTAGAAACCATATATGCGCGTCTTACACTGTCTTCGTCTCACATCACGAAGCATAACGACTGTAGCAGGGATCGCTGTATTGAGCGACTGTGCGTCGCGTAGGCGTCCCCGCCTAACCCTCATCTCTACAACATCACGTGACATTTACAAAGCGAACTGGCGGTCCATCCCCTCTCGGGAAAAGATCATTCGATTATTGTAAACGCTAAAAGTTAAATGGCCGAGATAAATCGATTAATTAGGCATGTTATACTTTAATTTATTTGCAAATTCCTTTGAGACGAAGCAAATTAGTGTTTAATGTGATTCTATGTGGCTCCCATTGACGAATTTGATATATCGTGACTACGCAATCTGAATGATAACGTTTGGTCATTTGACAAGGCTGTCCCTAGACAGTCCGCTGCCAGAATTCAAACGAGTGGAATAAAGGAGTTAATGAATTTTGTATAACATTAATCTGTAATCTTGGTAGATAAATAGATTATCTTGATGCATAGAAATTATCGGACGAAGCTCTGCCGCCCTGCGCATGCCGTCTGTCTGTGTAGGTACAGTGTAGCAAGTGTGCACTGCGCAATTGAATTCGTTACAATGGAAATAATTTGCTATCAACCTAGCGGTTGCTGCAGCTAGCGTGTTGTCATGTATTATCAGCATTATATACTTGCTGGGGGTAATATTAGTTTAATAATATGTCATAATTTTTTTTGAAGAGTAGACAGACAGACACGCACACGCGCACACACAACACGTACGCACACACCGCACTTATGCACGCACACTCTACGCGCATGTATGTACGCATAGTAGACGCACGTATGCACGCACGCACGCACGCGCCCGCACACACCACACGCACGCACAACATCACACGCACATATGTACGCATAGCATACGCACGCACGCACGCACGCACGCACGCATGCGCATATGAAGACAACACATCACACCGTGCACGGAGCTTTCGTTGCGATAAAATGTCGGCCGCGTTTACACCATGGTTGGAGTCATAGCCATTTTCTCGTTTTGGCAGACGAGCATCACGTGGACGTGGCAGGCATGGACAGCGACGCAGTTCAGCCTCACGCCGCTCCGGAAGCGGCGCTCTACCCGACCGGACATGAGAACGTGTATGAGTCATCGGCTCGTCTGTTGTTCATGGCTATCCGCTGGGCAAAGAACCTCCCGTCGTTCTCCAGCCTGCCGTTCAGGGATCAGGTATAGCGCATGCTGATCTTACTACAACTCCACGGCTCTTTATTAAATATAATTACAACGTACACAATACAAACGTAATTAAACACGCATATCCGTATATACATGCGATCACAATTAATCCGTCGTTTTCATGGACACACCAATGGCCGCTGAAAAGTAATACCATGGACAGACTGCAAATCCGATTCCAGATCAAGCTGCCCCGGACTAATATCGTGCGAGAATTCAAGCGGAACGCAGTCATCGCCCTCTTATTTTTGCCGTGCAAAAATATTTTGCTGTCTATAATGTTGTAGCGTGACTTGTCCAAATCAAGACCGATCACTTCACATTCTGCAGGCTGTAAATATAGGCTGGATTCTTTTTTATAACAAATTGCTGTCAGATAGATATAAGTCATGAGAAATTGCATCTACGGGGGTTCTTTTTTTTAAATACCGGGGGAAGAGACCCCAGATCCCCCGCCACGGGCTTCACAACCTCACTGCTCGCAGAGCGTGCCCTCCTCCCAATCGTAGATCCGCCCCTGAAATCGTACGCACTGTCCGGAACAAAATACGCGTTATAACCCGGTCTAAGTTTGCACTCTGTTCCCACCTAATTAAGGTGGGTTATGCACGCTTCACAATAAGATTTATTTCTCCGTACTGTACTCTCCGTAATGTATGGCGCGATAGGCTAATCTGAGCATGCGCAGAGTAAGCGGGCGATAAAGCTGAAGATTTTTCCTCGCGCTAATATATATATATATATATATATATATATATATAACACTGTGCTAGCATACAGGTAAACATGTGGCTGGACTTCTAGGATCTATCTTGACGATATTAGTGACGATTCAACATCGTCATGATCATGAGAGTCGATATTCAATATATATCCTCTAGATAACATAACATAACAAGCCTCTTTCTTAGTAAAACAATTAGGAGCGATTACTTTAATTAGCCAATTAACTAATTAATTAATTAATTGCGATCTAACCGCTTGTGATCATCGTAACCACGTCACGCGCGCGCGCGCGCGCGGGCGTGTGTGTGTGTGTGTGTGTGTGTGTGTGTGTGTGTGTGTGTGTGTGTGTGTGTGTGTGTGTGTGTGTGTGTGGGTGGTGTCAGGTGACCGGTGACAGGTGACAGGTGTCACACTCACCTGTGTGTGTGTGAGAGAGAGAGACTCACGCAAGCACGCACGCACACACGTGGTGGGCGACGAGTCGACGACACGTCTGTTATCTATCCTTTGCCGTTTAACGTCTTGGCTGCCACGACGGCGGCGGCGGCGGTGGCGACGTGTTTATTATGATGCGCCAGAATGATGGGCTCACCTGTACATCACCTCCATGGCACCTGTGCCCTCACGTCTTTGCATATATGCACGTTCGCAGGGAGTGATATCGAGCCGGAAAGACTGGTTTACAGTTTTGTTGCGCGTTTACGGTGTTGCTATCAACATGCGGGGAAGGTGCACTTACTGTACGCGTTGATGGGAACTTGAACGGGGTTGAACAGAGGGGGGTACGTGTTATGATGTGGAAGATGGAGGGTGGGGTGTGTGTGTGTGTAGTGAAGGATGAAGACGATGGAGGGTGGTGTGTGTGTGTGTGTGTGTGTGTGTGTGTGTGTGTGTGTGTGTGTGTGTGTGTGTGTGTGT